AATGATCGACTGGTGTTATCGGGGTTGATTTTTGTTGCGTAGCTTGGACTCATTCGAATGGAAAAAGTTTACGATGGAGGCATGTCGTGTTGTGCTCGTGGGTGGTTTTCAACCCCCGTCTGACGACCGGGCGATAGCCCTGCCATCTTACACGCGTTTCCATCGGTGACTGACCCTTTCACCCTTTTGTTCTCTCAGTAATGTCCAAGTCATCTCCATCTCCCACAGGCCCTCGACCGCCAACCCCCGACCCCGACCTCGCTGTGTACAAGCACACACACACACACACTAATGCATCGGGGTTGCGTGACGCAGTGCTAGGTCGGAGACCCGGGGGGGGGGGGGGGGGGATGTTGATGGCGGCAGACTGGCGGCGACGAGTGTTTAATAAGTGCGCGAATAACTGCGTCTCATGGTGCAGGGTTTGGAAAATAAGAGCACTTTGCAAAGCCCGAGGGAGAATAGACGAGTAAGGCACATTTAGCAGTGTATCAATGTGGCGTAAAAAAGTGCTGTACACCACCTATAGTTGGACTCGTGGAATCCCTATTTCGGCAGTCCGTTGTCTGCTCTACCGCCCCGCCCGAGGCGGGACCGATGCTGTTCCACTGCGTGGTAGGGGCGGGAGGCTTTAAAACAATCCTCGGATGAAGGATGGAGCTAGATAACCTGGATAACTGAGTAGGCGATGACGTAGGAAATACACCGACAGTCTGTTTGCGGTAATATTCACACAAAATCTGGCCCTACCTTCCGGTTTGCAATTCAAAGTTGTCGCTTTTTTTTGAATGATTATTTTCTCTATGCAAGATGTATTGCTATGCAATAAAAACACAGTTACGACAAAGTTATCGGATCCTAGGAGCAATTAACTAGAGTCGCAAACTGTTAGTTATCGATATTTTTTACACAGTCCCCGAGACTGTCTCTACCGGAGAGGAGAGGGCGCTCGGTTGTGGCGTTCAGTGTTGGCTTTGAGTGTATATTATCATTTAGACGATAAATATACACTGAGAGCAGCTGCTCTGACAATACGTTACAGCGGCTCAATAGAAGCACGACGCTGTATTGCAGGATGGGGGGATGGATGAATCGTACTTGGAGGGCGTATGCACACTGATCAGTTGCTTGGATTGAAATATAGACGTGGTGCACGGATGGTTGAATGAATGTATGAATGAATATAAATTATCGTTCCGACGAACGAATGAATGAATGAATGAATGAATGAATGAATGAATGAATGAATGAATGATCGTTCGAATGAATACATGAATGACCATATGAATGAATGAAATGATAATTCGAATTAATACATGCATGAAGAATGATCATTCGATTGAATTAATGCATGACTGATCGTATGAATGAATGCGCGGATGATCATTCTAATGGATGAATGGATAGATGGATGGATGGATAGGTGGATGGATGGTTGGATGTGTGGTTAGACGTATGTATTGAATGGATTGGTTGGATGGTTAGATGGATGTACGGTTGGAGCCGTTCCGGGTTGGTCAAGGGTC